TCCCTAATAACCTACACATGCTGCAGCCACAGCCATATCCGCTATTCCCCAAACACATCTGGCCTTTCTACTTCTAGGCTTTACTCAGCATAGTAGCCCCTCCATCCTGCCACCATCTTGAACAACATGGAGTTCGAGAACCTCTGTATTTTGACCTAATTAATCTACATCCTCGTCTTAGTATCTGACAAACCAGGGGATATCCTCATCCTAGGGCAGAATCTTAATTATTCTAATCAAAAGGAGTTGGAAATTTCAGGACCCCAACAGACAGCAGTCAAAAGGGCTGTACTGTCGCCTTTATCCTCCATCGCACAGGATGCTCAGTCATGTCCAGCTGTCACCCACACTAGCTCCATGACTTTGCTTGCAGGTGGGATTTGTCAGTTGTCTGACCAGTTCTGAGCCCTGAGTTTGCAGACTCTGTATCTTGGAGATGGGCGGTGGGTAACAGGGGGAGGCTTACTCCTGGAAGATGAGTCCCTGGCCAGAGAGAGGTATGTTCTGACTCTCCTAAGTGTTTTTTTTCTCAGAAACAGGAGTTCCTCAGGGACCACCTAAACTCTTTTACCTCTCTAGAAGTCCCAAGAGGCAAGTTTCTCTCTGCAGTCCTTATAGAGACATAATAGGGAAGCCAAGATGTGAAAGGCTTTTAGTAGGCAATCTGTAGACAGGACATGCTTTTCTCCATTGGTGAAGTCGAAGGAGCACACCAAGAATGGGACCAAGTCCCCGTCTCTGAAGGCTCTCTCTTCCCTTGAAATGGATAAACCGTTACATGAGGGACCGCCACCTTTCCCAGAAACCTTTGCGACAGCTGGCGTAGACTTCTCATGGTGTCTTGAACAGCCTGGCTTGGCTCATTTCTACTTCTGAGCCTTTGTTATTGCTGTCACCAATTCCTAGAAAGCCTTGTTGGACCTCCTTGGCAAGTATAGTCTAGCTATCTTTTGAGGCCCGACACTGCCCGCACCTCTGCCCTAAAGCCTTCCTGGCCACCAGGTTCTTGGAGCTTCTAGAGAATGCCAGCTCTCTGTTATTTAGCATTTCCTTCTGCTATTCTATAGAGTTACTACAACATGTAAAACAAATGCGTGCTTGTGTATATATATGTGTGCGCAGTTATATATATATATACTATTTTATATATATATATATAAACACACACTATTTTAAGGCTTGAAATATCCTGTCAAATTACTTTCCAGAACGATTGTGCCTATATATAATCTCACTAGCTCTGTATGTCAACCTTCCCATATACCGTCACAATCATTGACTATTATTGTTACCTAAACCTTTGCCACAATATAATTGATACATGGTAACTCTTTCAAATTCTCATTTTTTATTACCACTGAGATTGAACAATATTTTTTACATAAATTTATCTGTGTGTGTGTGTGGTGATTTATTTTGCATTTGTATCCTTTTTCCTACTAGAATGGCACAAACACTTAAACGTTAGTTTAAGAAAAAAGGTTAATCTTCCAAGCTACCTTGGACCCTGTTAAGCTCTTTGAGGCCCAGGTAGTGGTCTCCCTCATTCCTGAGGCCCTCCTCCTTCCGCCCGCACACTGTGCCTCCTATGTGTGTTGCACACAGGGGGTGCTCAATAAATGGTTGAATTAAATTGGATGGAATGAATGCTCCCAGCCAGCCAAGACTTCTCTCTTTCGCCTGGAGGTATAACAGCCTTCCACAGATTTGTGGCGTTTGCTTTTCTCTGCCTTTCTCTCAGGCTTCAGGGAATGGAGGAGTAGGAGGTTAAATGAGGACAAGCTGCTCTAAAGGCACCTTCCCCCGCTGCCGACAGAACCATCTGGAGCACGAATTTGGGGAGAGCTTAGTTTTGACAGCGCTGCTCAGTTCCATGAAGTCGTCCCCCCACCGCACCCCAGTCAGGAGCCCTAAACTGTGATTTTTCTGTTAAATACAATTTCTGTTCTCAACCTTTCTGGTATGTCTCTCCCTGCTTGCCCATCAGCTATTCCCTGTTTTAGTGTTTCTGTCTGTGACACCTTCATTGAATTTTCTTATTTTTCAGTCCCCCTCTTCTTGCATATAAGGATGTGCACATATGGGAAGCACTATGTTCCAAATTCCAGGTAGTTTGAATTTTGGAGTCTTTATGCTCTATGGCATTCTTGACCTTTTCCTGTGGATGGAGATGATGAAAATCAATTTATCTCTCACCACCACTTCCAGAATATGTCAGGCCACGCCAAGAGAAGTATCCAGTGGCACATGAAAGCCCATGGAGAGATTACCTCTTCAGCTTCGCCAAGTGT